ACAGCCCGTGATGTCCGTTTCTACACCACCTATCCGTGCTTACCGTGGCGATGGCGACGGCGACCGCTGCTGTTTCGTCGTCCTTGACTCTTTCGCTACGGTTTCACGGATGGTCTGGCGATATCCGTAGATGGGGGCGTGATGTTTTGGTACCTTGCATGATACCATGGTTATGATGTCCTCCCTCCCCCTCCGTGCCACTTCACTTCGCGCGGCGGCCGTAGGTTGTGCTCCGTCGGGACTCACTCGGCAGCGGAGCCGGACACAGCCTGACTCGAAATGACCATGTCGGGGAGGCTGTGCCAAACCCAAGCGAGCGAGAAGGAAATTGTGCAGTCGTAGAAGATGGGTCACCTGGGCTGGGTGGAAACGGACGCGCGCGCCAGCCCGGTCAACAGCGGGGGTGCAGCACGCGTCGTCTCTCGAGGTTTTCCTTTTACGGCCGTGACGAGGACCCTTGCCCGAGTTTAATGAGGGAAGCATGGGCCCGAGGCTTGCGGGCAGGGGCCTCGATGGAAAACCAACAGCGGTGGCCCCTTACCGGCAGAAACGAATACAACTTGCCCTCGTCACGGTCGGCGCCGCACGTGGCCGCCCGGGCCCGATTTTGATCCTAATCTCATTCTCCCCGTTTGCCGCCGTTTCCACCTTTTGAATCTTGATGAGGATGCCATGCCACCATCATCCTTGTGCATCGGTGTTGTTGTTGGCGCTGGCCGCGTTGGTGTTGGTGGTGGTGGTGGTGGGTGGTGGTGGTCTGTCTTCAAGTTGCAACATCACCAAGGATCCAAGCCACGCTGTATTCGTGCCTTACTCTGTACCATACCTCGTATATCGTCATTGCCGTTTGTTGGAATCAATGCCCTTGGTGACACGCACCTGCACGTCCAGAAAGAAAGAAGACCGACCGAGTTGAGCGGTTAGGTGATAATGCCATCCATCCAGCTCATCAAGCGCGGCCATCTGTCACATGTCCCTCTCTTGGCTAGGTGTCTGTATCTGTATCCGTACGGTACCTACGGCGCCAATGGCCCCTTTTCATTGCATCGTGCCTTGCGCATGTACGTCAACAACAGACTCATCTCCCCTGTGCAGATTTGCCAGCCCAGGGTCATGACTAATTCAGCAAGCCCCCGTGTCCGACATCCCGTCCCTAGACATCACGAAGATGGATGGCGTGTTGTACGGATGTTCCGTAGCTTTCTTGCTGGTGTCACGGCGCCGCAGCGACCGGCGGTGTTGGTCTTAGTGCTTCTGGCATTGTACCAGGTAGTCGGACCGCCCGCCAGCTTTCCGCATTCCAGAATGCCGCCACAGTGTCCATTCGTCGCATTTCGCAGGTAATTCTTGTCTTGACGACATCGTTGTTGGCCAAAGAGAAAGACAAATGATACCTACGTTGCTTGACATGCATCCCGGCCCCGGTACGAATCGCTACTCGCGAGATGGCGATCTGGCGGCGGCCTGTTGGCCGAGTGGGAGACGAGACACCAAAATAGAAGCGGTAGCCTCCGGCCCCATCCCAGTCCGCTGAGCCCTGCGTTGGTGTGCTGGGTTTTGCGAGCATCATCTCCGGGGATGGGTTCTCTGTGTCGTCAAAGTCGGTTGAGCAACCAGGGTTGATCGCGCAAGCCTGACATACGTACGATGTCTTCTGGTTCGGGGTCCATCGTCCATGAAGGCAGGCTTAGGGTACCATGGGGCTGGTAACAGAAGAGATCCCGCTCCCGCCTTCGCCATGTACGTACAAGCAAGTCAAGGAGACGATATGCGCTAATGACGCCGCAAACCCACAGCAAATCTTGACGAGAGGCACTCCACGAGGTAGAAATCCATCTGACGAACAGCTCTGCGCCTTTCCCTAGTGCACTGCGAAGAATATGGACTGCGTATCCATGGAAATCTTTTACTCGGGGTTGGATATCTTTCACGTCTCCTCCCCCACCCCCGTGGGCGTCCTCAATGACTCAGGGAGTGTCGTTCGCCGCTTCCTGAATGTCCATGTCAGACCTGGAACATGTTGGTAGTCGCAATCAACTAGTACGGAGGGAAGCACGAAGAAGATGGCTACGCGCCTCCGAGATGTTCGCTTCGACCCGGCTCGGTGGGATAATCTTCTGTATCGAGGCCTACGCGAGCTATCGTACATCGTCCAATCAGGCTTGTCAACTGTGCCAAGCATCTGGGACCACTGAGACAACGGCTCCTTTGGCTGATTTAGTTTTTTTTTTTTTTTTTTTTTTTTTTTTTCNTGTTTTTTTTTTTTTTTTTTTTTTTTTTTTTTGTGCGCACTCGGTCTTTTGAAGAGCTCCCAAATAACGCTCCAGGCCGCTCCTCTCTTGAGTCTTGTGTCGATCCAGAGAGTTCAGCACGTAGAACCAACGGCCAGGTTTGGTGCGTAAAAAAAAAATTAAAAAAATTGTGAGCAGCTTAGCGCTGTGACAAGCCGCGACTCCGCGCGGACATTTCATTGAAGCCACAGAGACTGATATCGATGCTTACATAAGGGTCTCAGAACACCTCCGAGTTCTGGGCAGTACTTGCTATGGCGATCACAGTTTGACGGCACAGTCAACCACATACATGAGTGATATCGTGCTATGCGATTTCGCGTCCATACCGAAACTTTTTGGGGCGGCTTTGCTGGTGAGGTTACAACGCCTACGGATGAGCGACGGTCCGGGAAACACCCCACGTCACCACATCGTCCTTGCCCTGCTCCCCCCCCCATCAGCGCCAATCAAGCGTTGATTCAAGCGTTGCGTGGTCCACATGAGCAAGGGCCGAGAACGAGGCGACGGACCGCAACTGATCCTCGCTGTCACCTTCATTGAGACTTGTTGGCCGACTCACAAAAGGTGATGGACACGGAAGGTCTGGGTCAGTCGATGGCTTTCAAGGTGTCCCATTCGTGAACTGGAGCCGGTCTAGACTTGAATGAAGTGTAGAATGTCGCTGGATCGCCATCCGATAACCATTGTGAAGGCGTCAAACACAGACCACGCTTCTCAAAATCGACGGCTGCTCTCTTCTACCAAACTCACCGAAGCCCACTCTGAAATTCGCCGCCGGAACTCTATAGGCGAGAAGTCGGCATGCGCAGGATGTGATGTGTGCTGCTAGGATGTATTCCTTCGGAGTTTTGGCCGGGATCCTCAAGGTGCAGCAGACGTGCTGCCAGCGGCAAGATCATGCGGGGTGTACGAGCCTGGACCGCCCAGCTGAACAAAACGAGAAAAGGCTGAACTGTGATAACACTCGACATGACGATGGGGTTTCCTGTTTAACGGAGGATCCATGCTGAGATGCCGCCACTCCAGTCCAGCGTACCTATCATCTCCCTTGTTTCTCATGCTCCAGAGCCTGCTGCGGATAGAGGACGGCGATTTTGCGCTTTCGGCGTCGATGCCGCAAAGCGAGAACGACTGTTTCCTGACCGGGGGCCAGGGGGTCCTATAATGCACATCTTAAGAAAATCCAACAGACGAACCTTGGGGTTCGTCCAGGTCTGGAGACCTTGTCTGGCTTTTAGCACTGCAACGCCGACGGGCAAGCCAATTGATAGCATGGGCAGCAACCACCAGCGTCTGGGATCAGCCGCTCTTCAAACAGATGCCCGGGTAGCGCGATGTCACACTAGATTATGCCCTCAAGTCGGGTTTCGATACCACGGACGCTGGTGAGCGCCCATCGCCGGAAACCTGATCTTCCGGCGGTGATATATCGAGATACCGGAAGAAGCCGTCGGGATCGCAAATTGGCGGCTTGAATTTCATCTCGTGCTTGGGAGGAGTAGCTTAAGTTCACCATGCTGTCGCAATGTAGAGCTGACGCCTCAAGCAAGGCTGTGCGTGTTGACCTTGACACTGTTCATTATTGCCTCGAAAGGACTTTGAGCACGGATAATTGGCGGCAGGGCGTGGTCACCGAGTCGTTCAATTCGGTATTGCGTGACGAGGCGGCAGACTTCCGCGGGCTGCATAACAGATCGCAAGCCACTTGGGTGCAGTCAATGCGCAGTCCGTCCCAGAGCACTGACGCTTAGTTTTGCTCTTGTCAGGTTTAAGCGGAACGGCTTCCCGCTGTAAGATGTTTGTCATGCACAGCACGGGCAACGATGGACCTGTCAGTTCTGTGAATCGCGGGCAGCTCTGGAAATGGGCTTCCGGGAATAGCAGCAGTTCCCCGTGCTTTTGTACGACTCTGCAAGACTGACGGCTTAGCACGAGAGGACTCTGTCAATCCTTCATTGCCCTAATTTATCCGTAATGTTCTTGGAGACGGAACTCCAGTTGTCAAGCCCAGCACTCGTAACGCAGTTTTGCGGCTTAGAAATAGAAGTAGGCAGCTGACTAGTCGTGAGGTCCCCGGAGAGGCGGGGATGTGCGGATAGGAAATCGTGACCTGAGGACGCTAAGACTGGATGTGGCATGAGATCCGTTACTGCTGCTCCAGGCTCTGTCGCGCTCTTCCGATGCCACAGCCATGATAGGGTCTCTGCCGGCGCAGGATCAACGTCAAGCAACCCACACGCCTGGCAGCACATTTGAACTTATCTAGGAGGCGTTTCTATGCTTCTCCAAGCAGAAGACAGACAGCACAAGCTCTCTCGGCAAATGCTCATGATACGGCCGAGAGGCATCGGTGTACTGGCAGCTTGAGCGCTTCTTGGGCTGACCAGAGGGCTGGAAAGACCTCGGCAAGCAGACATGGGCGAGCTGAACGTGAGTATCATCGCCTATGGCTCGACGGAGCCCGATGTTGCAGACCAATGGTGTGGGAGAAGCATTTGATGTGCGTGCTGCGGTGCGACCTGTTGTCGAGGTTTTCTGGCCCTGCGATTCGTGCACACGGCGAAGAGATGGCCGCACGGCGAACTTCGAGGGTGCGTTCGGAGCGTCGGAGGCCAACTCCAGCCACATTTTCTCTGGCTCCACCTGTGCTCTTTGCACGGCAGACGGTGCGAGTGGATTTGGGGGGAAATAATTTGCGAAGCGCGCTCAGGCTAAGGTGCTGCGTTGCTCGGCTCTGCGCGAAGAAACGAGGCACCAGCACCTGTTGACGGACCGGATCTCCTTGGTCGTAGCAGCGGCAACGGTGACGACTGGAGGCCAAATGCAAGTCCAAGATTCGAATAATGAGTGGTCTCCCAAGCCAAAGGCCAGGCAGGTCTCAGCCTGAAAATGCATGGGCTAGATGCGTTTGGACACCTCCGGCGTCGTCAAAGTTTGACTTGCTTGCGAGCCAACGCAACGCCGAGTGAGACACGCGGAAGCCAGGTGGGGGGCCCATTGAGCTAGCCTGCGGGAACAGCGGCTGGTACCTTACCTCGAGAGCACCGTAAAGGGGCCAGCCGTCTCCTTCTGGGCAACCTCCAGCTACGGCTGAGCCTGTTTGGGCCTTGTGTTGCAAAGCAGGCAAAAGAAGAGCCGACGAGTGGTGACGACGATGCCCGTTTTGTCATAGCAGGTCATCGTCGACGGGGATCATGGTGATCGTTGCAGGCAAGCCGTGGCGAAGAGTGGAAGACGGCCGCGAAGGCTGGCCATTCGACATACATAGTAAGCATCCCTCTTCAAGGCGGACGATGCAGTGGCTGGCCCGAACTTGCATCACAGCGTTACGTTTTGGGACTCGCTGAGGAGAATCGGGAAGTCGTGGGACCGTAAAGCACCCCACCAACTTGTCAGTTGATCACAGCGGACGGGGATCATGAGTGCTCGGAGGCTTGATGGGGGGAGGAGGAGAAAAAAAAGTTGTCGTTTTCTTTTTCTTCTTTGGCGTCGTTGAGGTGCGTTAGCGCGACCAAGCTCCAGGGGTAGGAGACAGGGCAACAGGGGCCGGTTGCGCCCACGAATCGCACGCGTCCAGTTTTGGTAGGCAGGCTGGGGTGTGAGAGCGGAGAGGGTCGGGAGCGTGAAGGATGGGCAGAACTTGTCCCAATTCATCGTCGTGTGCGCATCCTTTCCGTCCAGACCCGGCCCTTCCCACAGCACATGGCGGACATGAACAACAGCCGGCGAGGGCAGTGATCGCAATGGTTGCTCCATTCGTCGCGTGGCAGCATGGGCCGTCATGTATCTGGACGGCACGACGCCTGGGGCACACACGATGGATGCATATCGGTAGCTACCATACGGCGGCTGGAAGCGCGCGCTGCAAGGTGAAGTGGTAGCCGACAGCGTGCGGCATTGGGTTGGAAGGGATTCGATAAGGCGGGAAGGTCGACCAGTGCAAGTAGGGTTAGGCGTTGAGACGAACTGGGGTCGTGTCCTAGCAAGCGAGCAAGGCCCAGATACGTATCCGTAGCTGATGTGATCCAGCTTGGTGGTTTTGCTTTGACATGGTGCGGTGGTAACGCGGGCGGGAAGGGCAGATGACGGCTGGGCGGACGAGACGAGGTGACGGCGACAGTGACACAGCTGGCGGTTGGTCGATGGGCGTGGTTGCCGTGAGTCCAAAGCATGGTGGGTGCAAGCGGTGGTGGTTATCAGAGTGACGAATATGTGTAGACTGAGACTTGCAATGGTAGCGTAGAGATTGACAGTTGGGTAGTTCCCGTGAACCCACGGAAGTCAAATCCCAAGGCCGATCGGAAGTTGCGGCATTCCGAGACAGGAAGTGACAAGATCAGGATCAGCAGCAGCGATGCAGAGAGATATGCAACGCGAGTGGTGGTCGTGGGGAAGCCGAGGATGAGGCTGGATGGGGAAGAAGAAAGTTGTAGGCGATGGTGAGAGAGAGGCGGCTTGCCCAAAGCGGCAGTCGTGGGTGTAGATGAAGAGGCTATCTGGGGCTGTTCATCTTGCGAGAGATGACGATGGCGGTGACGGTGACGGTGACGGTGAATGGAATGGCCAACGGCAGCAGTTGCACCTTGGTGACGTGATGGATGGCTCGATCCGCCCCGACACAAAGAACAAAGAACAGAGAGGTGTTTTGTTTTTTGGGCTTTGTTTCGTTTTTCGGGTACGTCAAATAAGCGTTTTTTTTCCAGCAAACTCAATTGAAGATGATGTTTACCTTACTACTGTTTGCACGAGCTGGTTGGCTGGCCATCAAGGTAGAGGAAAATAAGGTAATTCCATTGCTGCAGCGCTGGAAGTTACGAATGGAATATTTGACAGCAGTGAAGCGTCGCAGTCTCTCCAGGTGCCAACGCCAAGATACGTATCACAATGGGGGTTGTTCGTCCCTACCTTAACCGAACGAACATCAGTGCTCTCTGTCTGTCAGTCCGGGATTGAGACTCGTACAAGCTGATGATGAGGCCATGAACCGTGGACAGAACGCAATGGTCGCAAAAGCGTCTTCTTGACCGGCCAGTCCGTGTCCATACTCGGTAGGAAATCCATCCAAGCAAGTCCGTCTAAACACGGACAAACAGAACTGTCTAAAAGCACCACGATTCACCGGACGGCGACCAAGTCCTGGCCCGCGTGCATGGGGGCTGTGTCAATCTATTCCACACTGTCTGGCGCCAAAAGGTAGGTAAGGTACAGTGTAAAGGTAGGCGTAGAAGAACAGCGGGCAGCAGCGGGCAGGCACAGGCACGGACGGATACCCGACATGAGACGCTCCTTCCCTCCGAGGTACCCATAATTTCCTCACCGTCTCTCCACAGTGTGACCTCTGACCGGCAACACGTGTGCTCCAATGGCTACCTTAAGGTGCCTGAGGACTGAAGTCACACACCTCCTTATGTGCTTATCTGACATTACCCACTTGTGATCTCTAAGGTACCTCGACCACGGGCTTCCTTCACCTTACGTACAGCAGTCGCCGAATCCTTTACCATGCTCAGATCCTCTGCCAGCACGTCAGTCAGCCAACGGCAACCTCATCTTAGAAGTCGCCTATCTACCGTACCTACCGCGAGGTACCTGTCTATCTCACCTGCCCTTAGCCAGGTACGGATAATGAGGTGTAGTCGGCACTAAGGTAAGTAAGTACGGATAGACAGGACCCGACCTGTCAACTCGCGGCGGCAACCACTGACTTTACTTTCGCCTTAGAACAGCCCTTTCAAAACATTACGGCCCCTCGCTCTGTTAGCTTCAGCAAACATCTGTTCGCCAGCCCGCCAAGCCCATCGTTCTGCCCGCCGTCCGTCCAAGTCTTCCGCCGCAATTTGGCCCTCGCCGTCCCGTCCGCCCTCAGAACCAAGAAACATGATGCTGCTGCTGCTGAGGCGCAATTACAACCCCGTCGCACAGACTTCAGCTGCCCTGAGTGAGCCTCTCTCCGCTTCCCCGAATCAGATGATGCCATTGCGATCGTCGCTCTCGGCTTCTCATGCCCTACGAATATCCGTACCTGTCTCTATCGTGTGCGACCCTCCCCTGATTGCCCCTCCTGCTTCAATTCTATCGACTCACATTCCGTCCCTTGTTACGAATATTCCACACAGTACTGCCATGCCTGCTGATGTCCCCCCCGGATATCGTCATGGCAAGGCTGCTGCTTCGCCCTCGCCTTGTCCCACTGCCCAGTTTAATCAATGCCCGCTCCGTCGGTTGCTGCCCTTCGCCCGGCCGGCGCCGTCGTGACTTGTCAACCTGCAATGTCTCGCCCTCACCCCTTTTGTCCGTCAGTCAAAACACCGCCCTGTCGTCCGGCCTAGCCACCATACGATGCATTGTCTGTATCTGTCACTCACTGACGGTACTTGCCCCTCTGCTCTACTTTCCCATCATCTATCTGCCAGAGGCCTCGTCGACGCCTACCGGGCTATCTTCAGCCCACAACAGGGGACTTGAGCCCAAACTTTTTTAGTGTGCCACCGGTTGACAGGGGGGCGTCGTCCAAACCCAGGGACGCAAAGACGCTTCAAGGACAAGGGTCCGGGACTCGACACCGGGGCCGGGACCAGGGGGTGTGGGATGCCATGGGATGGGACGTCGTGGCATGGGATGGCATGCTTAGCCTTGGGTACGTGTGGATGCCTCTGTGGATGTGAAGGGTTCACCCTCACTTGTCCTTCAGGTTTATTCAGGTGGGTGCAACCATCCTCCATCCTCTGAGCTGTGCTGTGTTGGACTGGAGCATAACCACCCACGTCTGGCTGGAGTTCGGCCTCGAGGTCGCAGTCCAGCTCATCGAACACGCGCATCCATGCACCACCCACCACCACCATACACACGCACGCTTGCTCGCTCGCTCCCACACACCCACCTACGCAGTACCTACTGCCACCGCGGCACACAGACAACGACAGGTAGCGAGTCACCCAAAGTCACTCACCACCCGTTGTTCCCTCTCGGCTGACTCTGGTTCTGACATGGACGCGGAAGCAAGCAGGAACCTGTCCGGTTCTTTTGCTCAAGCCCCTCCTCTCGCTGGCTCGGCCTTTGACACACCTACCTGCATACGAAGACTTCACTTTCCCTACGCACTCGGCGGCGTCTAGCTGTATGTAGCTGCACACTCTTCCTCAGCCTGCTTGTGCTTCCGGGACTACATCGTCCTGTCTTCGACTATCCGTACCTGTCGCCGTCGAGGAAACCTAGTCGTCCGGCATTGCATAAACTTAGTGTAGTAGCTGTCTTTGCACAGTCTGCACGCTGCATCTGCATAGCACTTCACTGGTAATGCTCGGGCCCTGTCATATCCTCCTCCACTGCTTACCATGTCTCTTTGGCTTGCCAACCCCGGTCCCTTCCTGCCCCTGGTCCCTGGAGACCAACCCTCGCGGCCTCTGTCCCCTTTCTCTTCCCTCCTCTCAGGCCCCAGCCATGAGGGCTCTACAGACAGAAAGGTTCCCGCCCCCTTGCTCCCTTGGTCTCCCGACACCTCCACCCCAAAATGATCTCCTCGATTCTGGCAAGTACCCAGTGGGTTGAGAAACCTCTCTCCCCTCTTGCCGCTCTGAACCCACACCCGCGCCTGCTCCTGGAGTTTGTGTGTGCGTGATGGGTCAAGAAGACAAATGATACTTCTTTCACCACCCCCCCTCTTCGCTCCTCTTGTCATTGTTTTTTGACCCTTTCCTCAAGCCTCGTCTGTGNACCCCCCCTCTTCGCTCCTCTTGTCATTGTTTTTTGACCCTTTCCTCAAGCCTCGTCTGTGCCCTCCCCAAGCCCTTGCCTGGACAGATCCATCATCTCGCCCTCAAGCCTTGGGAGACTTAAGCAGACCTTCTTGTCTCATCTCTTCCCGGATCTGCCTCACCCTTCCTTATATCGTCTGTCCCTCCCCATTCAACCTTAAAGCGGACAAGCTCCCCTCGATCTCTACTTCCGAGTCCCGTGCCTCCATCACACCCACGTTCCCTCTTGATATCTTCTTTATCACCAGGCCGTCGGCCATCTCTAACCCCCAGTCACTCTTTCACTCTGCTCCATAGCCTGGCACCGCCCGCGTCTCGTTTCCGGGTCTCCTTCGTCTTTCATTATCTCATAATCAACACGCACAAGCCGATGATACCTCCTGTGCTCGTTACACCTTCGCTCACCACACTCGCTACCCCTTCCAA